CAAACAAATAGATAAACACATTTTTGCTTCAGTTTAAGTTTTCAGTTCAAGTTCATTTATTAGGTACAGCCCTATGAGCCATTCGGCTCTTGAATCGGGTGCAACCGCAACAAACAAAAACATGAACAAGAAAACATCTTAAAGTGACTATGTGACTATGTGCAAACTGAAAATCCAGGAAAAAAAACTGCTAAAATGACACGCAGGCGTTTAAATTGGATGCCTCTTAAGGGGGGTCGGGGTGAATTTCGGGTTAGTTCTGTGTATAATTGGCTTGTTGTACGGAGTGCAGGATTTTGTAAGTTTATTTTAACGATGTACGGGCGTACATCCTCCATATTACGTTTCGGGTTTGCGTTCTTGAAAACCTGAACGTGAAGTGAAAAAATCTGAACGTGTATCGAAAACTATTTTCCACATATAAAGGTCCTTTTATATAACCCGAGATAAAAAAATATTTTCTGACCTCAAAACCCACTAAAATAAAATGACACTTTTCAACACGAACAATATTTTCTTCACGTATAAATCTGTAGAAGAATAAACTGGGCAGGTAATTAACAACAAATATTGTCGACTGTAATTGACGAACTATGATGCGACGTCGTTTGATGCGATGCTCCAGGGAGGTGTTGAGAGGAGGAGGAGGATCAGGGAAGGGTTACTACTGCGAGAGTGAATCTCTGGGTGCCACTGCACCGATGTGTGCTGCTTGTTAGAACTTGAGTGGACGTCAGGACACATCGGACGCAGCATCCCTGACTCTGGAGCTGCTTGAAGCCACGTGCTGAACATCGTCGTGGATGTAGCGGCCCCTAGTGGCCGGAAAGGGTCACGCGAACGCGCCGTGCAGAGTCACAAATGGTCATCGACGATGTCCCCGACATGTCGCGCCACGTGCCCCCCCCCCCCCCTCTGGGAGCGTCTTCCGTCGATTGAATCCCCCGAAAAGGCTCGCGGAGCGCCGCGAAACGTCGGACGCCGTGCCGAAGGGCACGCGGTGCGCGAGCGGAGGGTCTCCGCGGAGCGACTGGCGAGGAGCACCTCGCCCAGCGGGAGCGACTCCACAACTCGACCGGGCGGCCACGTGCTGAGGCGGTCACGTGGTGCTGCTGAGGCGGTCACGTGGTGCTGCTGAGGCGGTCACGTGGTGCTGCTGAGGCGGTCACGTGGTGCTGCTGAGGCGGTCACGTGCTGCTGCTGAGGCAGTCACGTGGTGCTGCTGAGACGGCCACGTGCTGCTGCTGATGCGGTCACGTGGTGCTGCTGAGGCGGTCACGTGCTCGCCGGCGTGGAGCCTCGCTGCTGGACACGGGCCCTGGGTCGACGGGGAATTGTGTAACGCAGAACAATACTCACAGTGAACAATACTCACAGTGAACAATGCTCACAGTGAACAATGCTCAGTGAACAATACTCACAGTGAACAATACTCACAGTGAACAATGCTCAGTGAACAATACTCACAGTGAACAATGCTCACAACGAACAATACTCACAGTGAACAATACTCACAGTGAACAATGCTCAATGAACAATACTCACAGTGAACAATGCTCACAACGAACAATACTCACAGTGAACAATACTCACAGTGAACAATATTCACAGTGAACAATGCTCAGTGAACAATGCTCACAACGAGCAATGCTCACAACGAACAATGCTCACAGTGAACAATGCTCAGTGAACAATGCTCACAGTGAACAATGCTCACAACGAACAATGCTCACAACGAACAATACAACGAACAATGCAACGAACAATGCTCACAACAAACAATACTCACAACGAACAATGCTCACAACGAACAATACAACGAACAATACTCACAACAAACAATACTCACAGTGAACAATGCTCATAACGAACAATACAACGAACAATACTCACAACAAACAATACTCACAGTGAACAATGCTCACAACGAACAATACAACGAACAATACTCACAAACAATACTCACAGTGAACAATGCTCACGACGAACAATGCTCGTAACGAACAATACAACGAACAATGCTCACAATAAACAATACTCACAGCGAAGAATGTTCACAACGAACAATACTCACAACAAACGATACTCACAACAATACTCACAACAAAGAATACTCGCAATAAACAATACTCACAACGAACAATACACTGATTGAATCGACACGAACTATCTTCATGTTACCAGGGAAGGTCCACTGAACTGTATGTCTCTTTTTTTCAGAAGCGACCTGGTCAACACAAATGATAGCTCAACGAAGTGCTTATCGAAGCGTCGTGATTTGTTTTATTTTATTTTCTACCTACGCGACTTTACCGAAGGAACCAACGAGTGTGGATTCCTGCAAGTCACGAAAGCTTCAAATCAAGATTGGTGCCTTATCTGTTGGACATTGATACAGTGAGGGAAAAAAGTATTTGATCCCCTGCTGATTTTGTACGTTTGCCCACTGACAAAGAAACGATCAGTATATAATTTTAGTAGTAGGGTTATTTGAACAGTGAGTGACAGAATAACAACAACAAAAATCCAGAAAAACGCATGTCAAAAATGTTATAAATTGATTTGCATTTTATCGAGGGAAATAAGCATTTGACCCCCTCTCAATCAGAAAGATTTCTGGCTCCCAGGTGTCTTTTATACAGGTAACGAGCTGAGATTAGGAGCACACTCTTAAAGGGAGTGCTCCTAATCTCAGCTTGTTACCTGTATAAAAGACACCTGTTCACAGAAGCAATCCATCAATCAGATTCCAAACTCTCCACCATTTTTCGATTTAAAGCTTTCGTGACTGCGGGGATTCATCTTCTTGGTTCTTTCGGTAAAGTCACGTAGAATGGAAATAATAAAATAATAAAAATAAAACATAATAAAATAATTTTCACGACGTTTCGGCCACAACGCAAGTAGCCGTCCTCAGGTGGACAGACCTGTTCTCCACCTGAAGACGGCTACTTGCGTTGTGGACAGACCTGTTCTCCACCTGAGGACGGCTACTTGCGTTGTGGCCGAAACGTCGTGAGAATTATTTTATAATGTTTTATTTTTATTATTTTATTATTTCCATTCTCCACCATTTCTTTGTCAGTGGACAAACGTAAAAAATCAGCAGGGGATCAAATACTTTTTTCCCTCACTGTAGCAGGCCAAAAAATACTCGCAAACGCGGCGTCGATTCTGCGGAGAGAGGCAATCACAAGGGTTGGGATCGAACCCACGACCTCCTGCACACCTGGCGAGGGAGTGAACATTCTTGCCACCGTGACGCACAGAACGTGCGCGCCTCTGGATTTTCGAGTCCAGTTTGCGAACGGCCTCAAAAAATAAAAGACTCTTGCCACGTGTGTGCGTGCATGCCTTGTGGGGCTCGCATTCCGCGTGGCTGTGCTCACGTTTGAACAAATTCCTGGCTTATTTGCTAACAAATTCCAGGTTGTGTGTGTGGGCGCTTTTTGGGTAAAGCGGAGTTTGGGATTGGGGAGCGGGGCGAGTGTGGGGCGGGGGTGCTGTTGCCATCTGTATATTTGAAGCGACCACATCATTTCCTGCAACAATCCGCATCACTTCCCCGGTCCTCACAATTCGCTCCCATCATCGGCAGCCTCTCTCTCCTCTCTCCCGGCGTGTGTAGGAGAACAGACATACGTCTCGATTTGTACTCGACCGCCCCCCCACCTTGTGGAGGATTTAAGCAGCAAAATGAATCAGGATGACAAACCCGCCCTTCTTCCAACAGCATCAGCCCCTCCACATGAACGGATAACATCTTGTTTTTTTGGCGTTGTACACATCCCATCAGCCGGGCGCACGGCCTTCTGGGAATACGTAATTTAGTCGCATTTATATTCTTGGTTCTGTCGGTAAAGTCACGTAGAAGGGAAAAAATAAAATTATAAAAATATTAAACAATACAATTATCACGACGTTTCGACTGCAACACAAGCAGTCGTCATTTTATTTTATTGTTTTATATATTTATTATTTCATTTTTTCTCTTCCACGTGACTTTACCGAAAGAACCAAGAATATGAATCCCTGCAGTCACGAAAGCTTTAAATCAAAATTTAGTCGCATTTGTTCAACGCAAGCAAAACAACTCAGAGTGCAGTTCTTGCCTACGCACAACTGGCAGTTCCCCAATGAACATGGAACGTTGCAGCAACATTGGATCAACCGGTTCTAACCGCATGGACAACGTTGCATGTTTACCGGGTTCATCAGCACTGGTTCAAGAAAGCCAGACTGCTGACGAGACTAGATTTGAAGCTTTCGTGACGGCAAGGATTCATACTCTTAGTTTTTTCGGTAAAGTCACGTAGGTAAAAAATACAGCAAATCTGGCTGTGACGGTCCCACCTGATGACGGACACTTGTGTTGCCTCCGAAACGTCGTGATTTTTGTAAAATTATTTTTATTATTTTATTTTCATTAATTTTAATTTCATTTTTTACCTACGTGACTTTAACCGAAAAAACTAAGAGTATGCTGACGAGACACTAAAACCGGCCCAGAGTCTGCTCTGTGCGTCCAACCAATGCTGCTTGAAACGATGCCCTCCCATAGAGGGTCGTGTGGCTGATGGGATGTGTTTAAAATACTGTACGTTTCCTGCTTAAGTGGGGGGGGGGGGGGGGGGTGCAGATATGGGCAAGAGACGAAAATCCTTTTAGTGAAAATGAGGTCAGCAAACGAACCTCACTAAGTTTCTGGATGTCACTAGATATACCCAAAGAGAAACACATTTGGAACAGTCGTCGTGCCAATAGTAGTTGGTCATGGCGAAAGGTAAACTCGATGCGGTGTGCCCACTTGCGAAAATTAAGTCCTATGGAGGAAAAAAATAAATAAAAAACGCGTGGCAAAGTTTTGGGGAGGGAGGGAAGGAGGGAAATCTGGGTGCATGCTAAGTCGTCTGGCAGCTTTCGTGCGTGTGTTGGGCCATGTGGAAGGGAAGGGCATGTTGATGTAGAGGGAAATCCAGACACTGTGAACTCAGTTCACGATCTCACCGACAGCATCTTGCCAAGCACGACACTGAATCCTCCCCCCACCCACCCTCCCAGCACGCGCACTTACCAAACATCGAGGCATGTACACATCTTCGAACTAAGATTCGAGTCCACGAAAGGCAGGGAAGAGCTGCTGTCCAACAAAAGGTAAGGACGATGGGGCGACGTGTCTGAGATGCGCGTGGAGCGAAGAGCGTTGCGAGTTTGTTGGGCCATCGGATGTTGCGAGTTTGGTGGGTCATCGGTGTTGTGAGCTTGATGGGTCATCGGATGTTGTGAGCTTGGTGTTTTTTGGGGGGAGGGGATAAGTGAAGAGAGATGCGTTCGGGGCTGTGAAGCTGCCGTGATGACCAGTCCGTTGAGAATGCAGAGCAAGTGCTGAGAGATGTGTTAGGTACGGTGCGAGACGCTGAGATAATTTAATGTTAACCGTGGTTCGGAAATCAAACTCAGGTTGCAGTGTTCATTAAACGGACGATTTGCCTCATTTCCACATCTACCCCTCCACGTAAAAAATATAACATTTTGTCCACGTCCCATCAGCCGTAGAGCCTTAGAAGGAGGCCCTAATTCCAGCTGCAATGGTCCAACGCAAGAAAATTCTGGACCGGTTGCCACATTCATTGCCCCCATCAGGAGGCTGTTTGAGCCAATGCTGATGAACTTCCAGAAGATGTTCATCGGCAAGGAGCCTCCCACTCCGTATTCGTGTGCGCCTAGCCGTCTCGAAATGCGATCGTAACCATTGTACCAACGTACCCACGGGGGGAGAGGATGTTCAATCAGGACACGCCAATACGGGTGTATCTTGCGTATACAAACTTGTCGATTTAAAGCTTTCGTGACTGCAGGGATTCATCTTCTTGGTTCTTTCGGTAAAGTCACGTAGAAGGGAAATAATAAAAATAAAACATAATAAAATATTATTTTTATACAAACTTTGCTTAAAACGATTTCCTCCACCCCCACTTCCCCCGTAATAAAATATAGCGCACGCTTCGTGTGATTGTTTTACTTGCGTCAAAAATAAAACCTGTGACTTCGTTTGAAAAGATCGCTTAAATAAATATAAAAAATATTCAACGATAATCTTGAACGCGCCAAAGTGTGTTAATGCCCGCGTCTCGTGTGATCAAGTCGCTTGTTTGCGCTCGGTTTGGAAGTGACCACACTGCGAAACTTGGCGCAGTCCAGAGAGGTGGCTGGGTTGCTGGGTGGCGTAGAGGTCAGATGTTGTGGAGTGCTGATTTGAGCTGGCAACGACCGAGGAGTTCCTGGGTTTGAATCCAAGGTTGGGGCCGGCCAAGCGGAATGACCACCACAATCTCACGTGTGGTGATCTCGTGGGCAGGCGAGCGGGCGAGTTCAAGAGGCTGCATCCAAGGGGAGGGGGGGGGGGGCGATTCCCCCCCCCCAAGATTCCCACCCCACCACCTTGAGACCCAAGGACATTAGGTACTGCGCTAATAATTACGAGAGAGAATACGTTGCTGCTATTTTAAATGCAGGGCCCTTAAATTTCGATTTAAAGCTTTCGTGACTGCAGGGATTCATATTCTTGGTTCTTTTGGTAAAGTCACGTAGAATGGAAATAATAAAATAATAAAATAAAACATTATAAAATAATTCTCACGACGTTTCGGCCACAACGCAAGCAGCCGTCCTCAGGTGAAGACCAGGTCTGTCGGGGAGACAGCGTCGTGAGAATTATTTTATAATGTTTTATTTTATTATTTTATTATTTCCATTCTACGTTACTTTACCGAAAGAACCAATAAGATGCAGGGTCCTTATTTAAAAATTTCCACAATTCGGGACCGGGCCCATCCACCACCCACCCCCCACCCTAGTCTCCCACCCCCTTCCCTGTGAAGTTTGTAGATCCACCTCTGGCCTCAAAGTCGACACTGCCAATGCTTTGTATGTTTGTAAATGTTGTCTAATTGTGAAAATTCCGTCAGTTCCTATGAGCACTGTTTCATTGCTTTCATGGCTTTATTTTGGTGATTTCGAAAAGTGTATTGGTTTAGCCATGTTTGTTTGTTGTAGTACAAAGTTAGACTGATGGCCTTAATCTAAGTTGTCTTGTGGTTGTTGTTGTTGTTGTTTGACTTGCAATTCCACTGGGATTTTTGCACACAGCGTTGGTGTACGGTGCTTTTTCTGCAATATTTTGCTGTCTTTTCTTGGATTTTCTGTTTGCACTCAGTCACATATTCACTTTAAGATGTTTTCTTGTTTATGTTTTTTGTTGTTGCGGTTGCACCCGATTCAAGAGCCGAATGGCTCACAGGGCGATACCTAATAAATGAAACTTAAAATGAAAATGAAACTTGAAACCTGTGAAAGCCCCGGTGAGTGTCAAGACTCAATTTTTCAGGAGGATCCTGCCAAGTGATTTGTTTTCGCATTGAGTAACTTTTAAATACATATTTTGTCAGCTTTCAGAGGAAACTGGAGAACACGGAGTAAAGCCCATGCAGAACGGTGGTGGAGAGAGAGAGAGAGAACGTACAAACTCCACACAGAGAGGATCCCATGTTGTTAATCGAAACCAGGCGTTGTCTTTGCTGCGAGGTGCCAGTGTGGTGAAAATATAAAAACGCAGAGAGAGAGAGAGAGAAAAAAAGAGGCCACGGCTGGTGGGGGCTCGGAAATTGTGGGCGTGGTGGATGGAAGTAGCGAAAATATTTTGGGCACGGCCACAAAGCGAGGGCTCTGTCTATGGCAGCTTTTGGGCCGGGTCTGTGAATATTGACTTAAAGCTTTCGTGACTGCAGGAATTCATATTCTTTGGGTCTCTCGGTAAAGTCACGTAGATAGATTCAAAGAAAATAACAATGCGTGCGGGAATACATTTCGATCGTAAGCGTTCGTCATCAGGATGAAGAACGCTTGTGTTTTTTGGTATTTTCTTTGAACCTATCTACGTGACTTTATCGAAAGACCCAAAGGATCTGTGAATATTGCTGTGGGCGAGTGGGCGCGGGGATGGTAGAATGCCCACCCCCACCATCCCCCACCGTGTGTTTGCTCTGAGCACACTGGCACCTTTTACAAGGCTGTTGGAGGGCACTTTCTAGAAGTCAAGCGGTGAAGTATGGGCTTTTTTTTCTTCCCAACATGAAAAGGAGCCACTCCACCACCACCGCCACCACCTCTCGAGATTTTATCGACCCACTTTTGGCCACTGCCCGTACTGTACTCTCTCGCTAAAAAAAGTTTTTAAAAAATGTGTTCCCGCACGCAGCCCACAGTAGCCTCTGAGAACGCTGCCCAAAAGTCACAAAAATTCACGACCCTCGTTGCCCGTTGCTCCGTTCACCACCACCGTCATCAGCAGCAGCAGCAGCCATGGTCAATCCACTGCTGGATGACGGCCTCCCCAAGTGGGCCCACCGCCACCTCTTGTGGTCCCGTGATTGCAACGTTCGACGGAGCAGGCCGGGCGGGCGGTAGAGGCAGCGAGGGTTGGCAGATCGCGCAAAGGACGCGAAACTCCCTTCCCCGTGGGGGTCGAGGTGCCATAACCCTGGCTTGCCGGGAGAAGGTGGTTATGGCGAGTGTGGACTAATCTCCATCTGTTCCGTCTGCACGGGATAGGGGGTGCTGCTCGCTTGCACGCGTGGGAAGTCCTCCTGGTGCTCCCGGTTTCTTCCCGCGTGTATAAACAACTCGCTCAGTGTAGGACCACAGAACTCGGGCAATTGTCGGCGTCGGTTGTGGCTGCCTTCCCGCGTGTCTGCGGTTTCGCGCGCCTCTGGGAGCGTTCTCGCTCTGTCGCCACGGGCGAACGAATCTAAATTGAGAATTAAAATCGGAATCTTTTATTTATTCTGGAGGGGGAATCTGATTAGCTGTGAAACTCTTTTTCACAGACGCCCCAGCAGGGACGGGAGGGAAGGAGGGGGGTGAGCGAGTTACGTCAACAATACAAAATAAGTAATATTTTAAAACATTTTTTTAAAAACACGCTTTTATGAAATGTACTAGTAATGGCAGAACTCCACGACTCCAGGAAGTGGCCCCGAAGCTTTCCATAACGTAAGGAACCGTGGACAATTCGACCCAAGCCGAAACATAGCAGAAAAAAAGAATGTTACTGATAGAATATAGTATTGTCATCAGTATGACATAAGTATACCAAGTTTGCAGTTGATACCACATTGGGAAGTGGGTTAAAATCGATTTACAAGATTTGAGGATACAACAACAACGACAACAACAGACACAGTGAGTAAATAAAAAACGATGTCAGAGCAAGATAGACACACGCTAAGCACGTGGCTAGAAACAAATAACAACGAAGGGTAGTAGTAGAAGCGTGCTCTGCGAGATTTCCGAGTGCACTCCTTATCCTTGCGACGGCCGCAGCGCGTACAAGGGAGCAAGCTTCGTTGTGGTCACCGCAGGCGGCGATGGGGGACATTCGGCTGGCGGCGGTGGCGGTGGCGGCGGTGGTGGCGGTGGTCGTCGCTTGGGGGCCACTCCCTGCGAGCGCAGCCCCCCAGAGTTCCGCTCGGAGGCGTCCCAACCCTTGGGGTCAACAGAGGTCAGGCAGCACCGCCAACGTGACAGCGGCGTCAGAGCCGTCCGTCGGCATTGGCAGCATCAGCAGCAGCATCATCAACATTGTCACGAGCATCAATGCTATCGTTATCATCATCACGTCTGTAATCACCATCGTTACCACAATTGATCATCAATGGTTCTCATCGTTAACACCGTGCTCCATCATCATCACTATCTTGACTCATCATCTATGCTACCATCACCACTTTCATCAACATCACCACTCATCAGCGTCCACCGTCATCATCATCATCATCAGTCATGGTCTTCATAATATAATCAATCAATTACTCATCATCATCATCGCCATCTTCTCCTCCTCGTCCCTCTCCATTCTCGCCGTGCGGTGTCGGGTTTGCTTCACTCCCCCGTCCCAGGTCGCCCTCCGCTCTCTCCGCCCCTCCACGCGGTCGCCACGGAGGCGACGCGGGCGGCGTGGTGGCCCTCGTCGTCCCGGATCCTGACGAGGGCGGCACCGGCTCCAGCTACGACGTCCTGCCAGGTGCGACGATGGACGATTGCCACGCGGTGACAACAACAACGACAACGACAATGACGACAACGACGACGACGACAACGACGACGACGACAATCGCCCTTCGCCGCTAAGTGGCGGGGTCGTCACCACGACGCTCGTGCCAGGCTAGGTGCACTTTGAGGCCCACGTGAAGTGTCGAAGGCCCGCTGGCAGGAGGTCACGGAATAGACCCAGGTGCCGTGGGTTGACTGAGATGACTGGCAGATGCACCGACCGTACTCACCACTGCGCCAACTTTCAGCGTTTTAGCCACCCGTTGCTCCTCTCGTTGTTGTGAGCATAGCTCCCTCCATCGTTGCTGGAGGGCGACTGCCTCCAACTGCCCAGTAGCCGCAAAGTGCACCTAGCTTAGAGATCATGAAAGGGTAAGGGGAGAGATGGGAAAGAGTAGCGGGGCGCGGGGAGGGAAGACGGTGGACAATGGGTAAGAGGTGAGCTTTGAGAAAGGAACGGAAGGCGGTTAAGGAAGAGGACTGCCACATTAACAAAGACAAAGATCCCCCGTGTAGCCTTAACAGGCTGTTGGGGCAAGTGCTGTTAGCGGGCACCTATGAAGGCCGGTACGACACGCGAGGGGGTGAGTGGCCAGCACCACGCCTGGCCGCCTTTGTCTGCCCAGTGGCGATGTTTACACAGCACACCAGGTACTCTTTTGAGACTGAGTCGACTTAGGGGAGGCCCATTACCGGTGCAGGTAATCGTTACTGGTGTTGGCCGTGAGCGGGAATCGAACTCGGGACGCCGGGTTCGTAGTTCAGCACACTAATGTAATGCAATGCAGCTAGTAATTTAAGAAACGCAAAATGATGCTAATAGCATCTCTAATGCGCTAACCGCTGCGCCACTACTCCCCACATACAAACCACATAAAGTGATACGAGACGAATGACTGCCATGCGGCGACACAAACACACAAAGGATTACTTTGATGATGACACTGATGATGACGATATTGATGATGATGATATTGATGATAACATTGATGATGATGATACTGCTGATGATATTGATGATAACATTGATGATGATGATATTGATGATAACATTGATGATGATGATGATGACATTGATGATGATGATGACACTGCTGATGATGACATTGATGATGACAGTAATGATGATGATACTGATGATGGCACTGATGATGATGATGGCACTGATGATGATGATGATGACACTGATGATGACGCTGATGATGAAACTGATGATGACATTCATGATGATGACAGTAATGATGATAACACTGATGATGGCACTGATAATGGCACTGATGATGACGCTGATGATGAAACTGATGATGACATTCATGATGATGACAGTAATGATGATACCACTGATGATGGCACTGACGATGATGACACTGACGACAGTGATGATGATGACACTGATGATGATGATGACACTGATAATAACACTTATGATGACACTGATGATGATGACACTGATGATGATGACACCGATGATGAAACCGATGACGGCGATGATGTTGCCGCCTCTACCCCTCCGCTAGGCCGCACGGGCCACTGTGCGTTTAGCGGCATGCAGATGTTCGACGGGGCCGTGTGGTCCCCCAAGCCGTGCGTGACGTGCGTGTGCAAGCGCGGCGCCGTCGCCTGCGACGAGGTCGACTGCCCTCGTCCGCACTGCCCGAGGACGGCGCGCACCGCCGCCACGTGCTGCCCTGTGTGCCAGAACACCGGTAACCACCGCTGCCACGGGCTGCCCTGTGTGCCAGAACACCGGTAACCACCACCGCCACGTGCTGCCCTGTGTGCCAGAACACCGGTAACCACCACCGCCACGTGCTGCCCTGTGTGCCAGAACACCGGTAACCACCGCTGCCACGTGCTGCCCTGTGTGCCAGAACACCGGTAACCACCACCGCCACGTGCTGCCCTGTGTGCCAGAACACCGGTAACCACCACCGCCACGTGCTGCCCTGTGTGCCAGAACACCGGTAACCACCGCTGCCACGTGCTGCCCTGTGTGTCAGAACACCGGTAACCACCACCGCCACGTGCTGCCCTGTGTGCCAGAACACCGGTAACCACCACCGCCACGTGCTGCCCTGTGTGCCAGAACACCGGTAACCACCACCGCCACGTGCTGCCCTGTGTGCCAGAACACCGGTAACCACCGCTGCCACGTGCTGCCCTGTGTGCCAGAACACCGGTAACCACCACCGCCACGTGCTGCCCTGTGTGCCAGAACACCGGTAACCACCACCGCCACGTGCTGCCCTGTGTGCCAGAACACCGGTAATCACCACGGCCACGTGCTGCCCTGTGTGCCAGAACACCGGTAACCACCACCGCCACGTGCTGCCCTGTGTGCCAGAACACCGGTAACCACCGCCGCCACGGGCTGCCCTGTGTGCCAGAACACCGGTAACCACCGCCACGAGCCACCGCAGAGAGTGATGCTGACGTGGCCACCACCGCCGCCGCCAGCAAAACAAATATGAAGATCTCCCCATATGCTGTAGGCTTAACAGACCGTAGGGGCAAGTGCTGTTAGCGAGCGCCTATGAAGGCCAGAACGGTACACGAGGGGGTGGGTGGCCAGCACCACGCCCGACTGCCTTTGTCTCCCCAGTGGCGATGTTCACACGCCGCACCAGGTACTCATTTAAGGCTGAGTCGACCTAGGGGAGGAGGCCCTGGACCGGTTCAGATAATCGTCACTGGGTGTTGCCCATGAGCGGGAATCGAACTCGGGTCGCCGGGTTCGTAGTGCAGCACGCTTACCACTACACTACCGCTCCCCATACAACCTCACACCCTCTAACCCTCACTATACTCAACATGACTATGAAGTGAGAATAGGGTTTCCCCTTTTTTCTGGCAACAAAACAGCTGTGTTAAGATGTTAAAACACCAAACTGAAACCTTTCACAAGGAATCATGTCACTGCATTAACCACAATACTTGTGGTCAGAATGCAAGCCAAAAAACATACTCTGATGGTTTATGCATTGTCTTTGAAACTGATTGGCCCACACCAGAGACAGCTTTCTTTTGAGCCTCGTCTCAAAACGGTGTTAGACCAGAGGACGCCACAAGGCGCGCTATGAAGTGTTCTGCACAGTGCCGATGCACGTGTGGTGATGTGAGGAGTGACGGCGTGACGTTCCCGGCACACCACCGGCCACCGCCGCGAGAGCCGGTAACCGCGCCCCAAAGTAACCACCCGTGGCCGTGCCCCCCGCCATTGCAGAGCCGGACCCAGAGCCGCAGCAGGGGACGGCGCAGACCGGAGAAGCAGCGGAAGCGGAGAATCAGAAGAAGCGCGCTCGGGGAAGCAAGAAAGGCCGCAAGAAACCCGACGATGAGGTCGGTGGCGTAAAAGAGCAGCAGCAGGAGCAGCAGCAGCAGCAGGAGCAGCAGCAGGAGCAGCAGCAGGAGCAGCAGCAGCAGCAGGAGCGAGAGAAGGAGCAGCAGCAGCAGGAGCAGCAGCAGCAGCAGGAACAGCAGCAGCAGGAGCAGCAGGAGCAGCAGCAGCAACAGGAGCGAGAGAAGGAGCAGCAGCAGCAGCAGGAGCAGCAGCAGCAGCAGGAGCGAGAGAAGGAGCAGGAGGAGAAGGCAGAGCTGGCACCTGCCCCGCCGAATTCCGACGGCCGATCTGAAGGCCCCGCGCCGGAAATCCATCGTGGAGCATCGCCGGACGGGCCGCCGCCTCCTCCAGCCGCGGCGGCGCCGGCGAAACCGGACGCGGCGGAGCGAGCGCGCCGGCGGGAGCAGAAGCGCCGGGAGGAAGAGGAGAAGCGTCAGCGCTACCTGGAGGAGGAGCTGCGCTTGCAGGAGCAGGAGGAGGTGGCGGCGCGGGCGGCCGCGCCGGCGACTCCCGCGCCCGCCGGTCCCACCGGAGCGAGCGAGCGAGCGGGGGCGCGCGGCGACGTGCCGGACGACGTGCCGAGCGAGCGGCTACCGCCGGCGCCGCCGGTCCTGCCGCCGCCGGTGCCGCCACGGCCGGCAGCGCCACGGCCACCGGCGAGGCCGCGTCCGCGTCCGCCGGCGGTCCCCGTGCTGCCGAGGGGTTTCGTTCCGCCCGGCGAGGACCCCCCCGGGGAGGGGGCGACGTTGGCGCCGGCCGCGCCGTTTGCCCCGGAGCTGCCGAGGGGGTGCAAGTCGGAGGACACGACGCTGACGTGCAACTCGGCCAAGCTGGTGTACGTGCCGCCCGTGACCGACGCGCACCTCCTGCAGCTCTACCTCACAGGTGACGGCGGCGAAGGCGGCGGTGGCAGTTGCGTGCTCAGTCGCCCCTCCGGCGGCAGGATAACGTGGGCGCCGCTCTGTGGGGAAGCCAAGTTGCCGTGCTACGGAGAGGCTCCCTCCTGCCGTAGGAGCTCTGCCAATGCCACCACTGGCCTCGGGGCTGTACACGGGAGTGGAGCGCACCGTTGGCCGCTCTCAGTCGCTCGGCTTCGAGCAGCGGGAAGTCACTCGGCCACGCGGCCCAGCAGAGGCGCGCTCGCGGTTCTGATCTGGCTGGGCAGCCCTTTATGAACCTAAATGATTATCATTATTGATAATACTGCGGTGCGCGCGCGTGTCAACCGTGAACGTGCTACGCGTCGTCTGCTTCACCGGTGGACGCGCGAGGTCCCCTGGCGTAACTTGCAGGAGCAAGCCGCACCGCATGACAGATTCACGGACCAGATTTGCCGCGTTTGGCCCCAAATTTCTCGAGTGGCTCGCAAAGTGCACAAAGCGATCAGCGCACACTGTGTCCGCAGACTGATGGCCACTTGTTGCGGTCACCGCGCGGCACCATAGCCGCACCGTAGACGCACCATAGCGGTACCGTAGTGGCACCAGCGCTACACTGTACCAATACCGTAGTGGTAGATCGCAGCACCGTAGCCGCACCGTAGCGGTACTGTAGTGATTTTCGAAAAGTTTTTTGGTTTGGCCATGTGTGTTTGTTGTAGTACGGAGTTAGACTGATGGCCTTAATCTAAGTTGTTTTGTGGTTTTTGTTGTTGTTTGACTTGCATCCCACTGGGATTTTTGCACACAGTGTTGGTGTACGGTGTTTTTTCTGCACATAGTCACTTTAAGATGTTTTCTTGTTCATGTTTTTGTTTTTTATTTGTTGCGGTTGCACCCGATTCAAGAGCCGAATGGCTCACAGGGCTACACCTAATAAATGAACTTTGAACTTTGAACCAGCGCTACACTGTACCAATACCGTAGTGGCGGATCGCAGCACCGTAACCGCACCATAGCGGCACCGTTCCCCGCACCGCAACGGCACCACGCCACTGCTGCGGTCAGCTGCTCGACGTGCATTCGGGCATGCTGACTCGGCGCGGTGTCCGTTCCGCGAAAGCCGCGCAACCGACGGCACGCGCGATTACATATTCCCCTCGTCTCGTGGCAGGGAACGCGATTGCGGTGATTGAGGCCGGAACATTCCGCGGGCTCCCACGCATCGAGTGGATCGACCTCAGCAGGAACCAACTCACGAGCCACGGCATCAGAGACGGAACCTTTGAGGTGTCGCACCGCACGGCGATCTGCCACTTTGCCGTGTCGTGCGATCGATGTGCTGTGTGATTGATGTGTCACGTGATCGATGTGTCACGTGGTCGATGTGTCACGTGATTGAGGTGTCGTGTGATTGATGTGTCACGTGATTGATGTGTCACGTGATTTATGTGTCACGTGATTGATGTGTCACGTGGTCGATGTGTCTCGTGATTGACGTGTCACGTGATTGATGTGTCACGTGATCGATGTGTCGTGCGATCGATGTGCTGTGTGATTGATGTGTCACGTGATCATTGTATCATGTGGTCGATGTGCCACGTGATTGACGTGTCACGTGATTGATGTGTTGTCTGATTGATGTGTCACGTGATCGATGTGTCACGTGATTTATGTGTCACGTGATCGATGTGGCGTGTGATTGATGTGTCACGTGATTGATGTGTTATGTGATCAATGTGTCGTGTGATTGATGTGTCACGTGATTGATGTGTCACGTGATTGATGTGTTATGTGATCAATGTGTCGTGTGATTGATGTGTCACGTGATTGATGTGTCACGTGATCGATGTGTCGTGCGATCGATGTGCTGTGTGATTGATGTGTCACGTGATCATTGTATCATGTGGTCGATGTGCCACGTGATTGACGTGTCACGTGATTGATGTGTCGTCTGATTGATGTGTCACGTGATCGATGTGTCACGTGATTTATGTGTCACGTGATCGATGTGGCGTGTGATTGATGTGTCACGTGATTGATGTGTTATGTGATCAATGTGTCGTGTGATTGATGTGTCACGTGATTGATGTGTCACGTGATTGATGTGTTATGTGATCAATGTGTCGTGTGATTGATGTGTCACGTGATTGATGTGTCACGTGATCGATGTGTCGTGTGACCCCTGACCCCGGTAGAACGTGACGACGCTGAAGCGGCTGTTCCTCGACGGCAATGCGCTCACGACCATCCCATCGCCACTGCCGCCATCCCTCGAGGAGCTCAAAATCAACGACAACAAACTCAAGTTCATCGACCGCAACACCTTCGCCTGTGAGGAGATAACAACAACAACAACAGCCGCCATTTTACACTGAGTGGTGGTGACATTACCACGGCGCTTGTGCCAGGCTAAGTGCACTTTCAGGTCACGTGAAGTTTCGAAAACTGGCAGGTCACGGGACAGAACCCAGGCGTTATCGGTTCACTAACTCAGAAGCCAACCTTGACATCGCAGGTGCCAGTCATCTGCAAGTCCAGTCAGCTCCACATCCCCCTGCACTGCATCGGTCCATCTCTTCTCCAGCCCCGTGCCGCGCCCGTTTAGCCCCCTCTATCTGTCCAAACGGAAGCTGCTTGGGCACGCGTCGTCTGGGCATGCAGGCTGCATGACGCAGCCAGAGGAGCTCACCGTTGGGACCGTGTCCAGATCTTTCAAGGACATTTTTGTTGCTGTTGTTGTTGTGCGAAGCTCCCTCGCGCGCCCGTGGCGCAGCGCGCTGACCGCCGCCGCACTGGCGCCCCTGTGCGTGTGTCCTGGCAGCGCTGTCGAGCCTGCTCACGCTGGAGCTGGAGGGGAACGCGCTGAGCGAGAGCACGGTGGACCCGCTGGCGTTCGCGTCGCTCGCGGGCCTCCACTACCTGCGCCTCGACCGCAACAAGTTCCGCCTCATCCCCTCGGGCCTCCCGCCGTCGCTCGATGTACGACAACGGCGGTCCGCCTGTCGGCTGGCAGCGCCTCGCTGAAATGGTGTAGACGTGTCGGCGCGCGCCGTTGCGATCCGGGTTGGGTGGATTCGTGTTCGGTCGGTGCGCTTTGCGAACGTCGGCTATCGGGGTGGACGCCCATCCCGGTTCTCATCATCTTGTAGAGGAGGCTGCTGTCGTCCTGGGAAATCTGTAGGACTGGGTGAATAAGTGAGTCAGTGGGTGGGTCAGCGGGCGAGTGGGTAAGTGAGCGGGTAAGTAAGTGGGTGAATGAGTGGGTGCGTGGGTGAGTTATTTGGTGAGTGGGTGAGTGAGTGGATGAGTGGATGAGTGAGTGGGTGAGTGGGTTGGTGAGTGGGTGAGTGTAATGAATTGGGTGAAATAAATTCCTTCCACTGGACACAGATGCCAATTCCCATGCTCGCAATGGCTTCAGCACAATCATCGCCATCACCGCCAACATAATCTCAATCATCGCCACCACCGTCGTCATCATCACCATCTTGAAACGTGCGTAGTCTTACTCGGTGTTAAGATTCATGTTAGATGTTTGTGTTAGGGGCCGTCCATAAATGACGTCACGCACCTGGGGGGGGGGGGGTCAGACATTTGTGACGATGTGTGATGAGGGGGATTTGAGAAATGTGACGTCACATCAATTTGCGCAACTTTAAATAAATATAGACAACACGTTCTACTGAATAAAATAGACTTTTTAATAAATGTTTTCTCCTACAACATCAGAGTGCAGCGCCACATTAAATACGCACTACAATGACAATAGTTTACAGCGATTTGAAGCATGTTTTATATTTTTGGGGGGAGGGGGGGCAGAGCTTTGTGACGTCGTATTTGAGGGGGGGGGTCTGACTTTTTGTGACGCCGTGTGACGAGGGGGGGGGGTGTCAAAAATCGTCCAAAATCGCGTAACGTCATTTATGGACGGCCCCTTAGGCCACGTGAATACATCTGGTTACACATCTTGTGCCGCAAGACCCTCCCACCGCCCTACACAACCAAGCAGGCGTAGACCCGGCGGTACAGGCGGCGCGTGGGCCTCTGCCTTTGTTTCCGCAGGAGCTCTACTTGAGCGACAACCAGATCGAGGAGATCTCGAACGGAGTCTTCAACAAATCATCGTCCCTCTCCATCCTCCACCTCCAGAACAACCGTCTACAGGAGACGCGCATCCACCCGCGGGCTCTCATCTCCCTCAAGTGAGGGGGGGGGTGGGTAGGGGGGGAGCGCGGGGTGGGGGCGGGGAGCCGGCTGTGGAAACGCATCTGAAAGTGCCGCGCGATGCGGTCACCATCATTGCCTCTGCTGCGAAGATGACCGGAGTGCGCGTGTGATGGTTTATGCCCCTTGACGAGATCGGCGAGGTATTCTTTTGTGGCAAGCGCTTTGCGTGTATCGAGCGCGACCCCCTAACGCGTTCGTTCAGCAACCGGAAGCCAGTGCAGCTCGGCGACCACTTGGACAGACAACAGTCAGAGGTCACGAGCTGAGCAGGGCCGTGCTGGTCTCAGACTCGCAGGTCAGAGGTCACGAGCTGAGCAGGGCCGTGCTGGTCTCAGACTCGCAGGTCAGAGGTCACGAGCTGAGCAGGGCCGTGCTGGTCTCAGACTCGCAGGTCAGAGGTCACGAGCTGAGCAGGGCCGTGCTGGTCTCAGACTCGCAGGTCAGAGGTCACGAGCTGAGCAGGGCCGTGCTGGTCTCAGACTCGCAGGTCAGAGGTCACGAGCTGAGCAGGGCCGTGCTGGTCTCAGACTCGCAGGTCAGAGGTCACGAGCTGAGCAGGGCCGCGCTGGTCTCAGACTCGCAGGTCAGAGGTCACGAGCTGAGCGGGGCTGCGCTGGTCTCAGACTCGCAGGTCAGAGGTTACGAGCTGAGCAGGGCCGTGCTGGTCTCAGACTCGCAGGTCAGAGGTCACGAGCTGAGCAGGGCCGCGCTGGTCTCAGACTCGCAGGTCAGAGCTCATGACCTGAGCGGGGCTGCGCTGGTCTCAGACTCGCAGGTCAGAGGTCACGAGCTGAGCAGGGCTGCACTGGTCTCAGACTCGCAGGTCAGAGGTCACGAGCTGAGCAGGGCCGCGCTGGTCTCAGACTCGCAGGTCAGAGGTCACGAGCTGAGCAGGGCCGCGCTGGTCTCAAACTCGCAGGTCAGAGGTCACGAGCCGGTCGGTGGCCAGGCAGACGCCGCGTTACCGGATCGGGCGATGCGTCTCGTCCCCCCCCCCACATCTCCCCCCCCCCCACCCCCCCCCCAGGAACCTGGAGTCCATCGACTTCTCTCACAACCGATTCGTCCACGTGCCCTCCTTCCTGCCCACCTCGCTGCGCCACCTCGTGCTCACCTACAACCTGCTGCAGCGCGTTCCCGGGTGAGCCCCCCAACCCCTACTCCCGCCCCCCTCCCCCTCGACGTCTCGCGCGGGAGGTGGAGGCCAAAAAACGCCGCCGTTGATCATCGTGGGTCCCGCTGCTGGATGAAGGTTTTCTTTTTCGATTTGAAGCTTTCGTGACTGCAGGGATTCCTCTTCTTGGTTCTTTCGGTAAAGTCACGTAGAAGGAATAAAACATAATAAAATCATTCTCACGACGTTTCGGCCACAACGCAAGCAGCCGTCTTTAGGTGAAGAACAGGTCTCCTTGACAGACCTCTCCTTGACAGACCTGTTCTTCATCTGAAGACGGCTGCTTGCGTTGTGGCCGAAACGTCGTGAGAATTATTTTATTATGTTTTATTCCTTCTACGTGACTTTACCGAAAGAACCAAGAAGAAGGTTTTCTCTCTCTTTGTCTCGCGATGCGATCGGGCCACGGGGCTTCTTGTGCACGAGCTGCTGACGCCTCTCGCCGCCGTCTCCACGACGGGCGCCGTCTCGCTTGAAGCCAGCCCCCCCACCCTTTGGCCTCCCTCCCAAGTTATTCGGGAAACGTGTTGGGGTTTTCAGCTTCTCTGCTATCGTCAATGGCCGGTCGGCTGCGTGGGGTGCGAAAGAAGTTCGACAAACATACGGTGGTCTCGGAGCAAGTCTCTGCATCTGTGCGAGTCTGTGGGCGGTTTCTGTGCGAGCCTCTGTGTGTCATTCGATGCACTCCACGTGACGATTTGTGTACCGTGTAAGTTGTTTAACTGCTTCTTGGTTCTTTCGGTAAAGTCACGTAGAGTCTCAGACTCTGTCTTATCGACAGACCTGTTCTCTGTCTTATCGACAGACCTGTTCTTCACCTGAGGACGGCTGCTTGAGTTGTGGCCGAAACGTCGTGAGAAGAATTTTATTATGTTTTATTTTTATTATTTTATTATTTTCCTTCTACGTGACTTTACCGAAAGAACCAAGAAGATGAATCCCTGCAGTCACGATAGCTTAAAATCGAAATTGTTTAACTGCATCGCTCGCTCGCTCACCCGTTTCACTCACCAACCCCACTCACTACCCACTCCATTACTTACCCACCCACTCACTCACTCACCCCTCCCACTCTCCCCCCCCCCCCCCCCGCCAGATACGTGTTTGCGCACATGAGCCCGGGACTCGAGTACCTGTACCTGTCGTTCAACCGCATCACGAGTGACGGGATCGACCTGGTGTCGTTCCACGGCATGCAGACGTCCCTCCTCGAGCTCTACCTGGACCACAACCTCCTGCGCAGCGTGCCGCTGGGACTCGCCGACCTCGCGGTGCTCCGCACGCTGCTGCTCAACGACAACGACATCCGGTGCCACCATGCGGTTTCACCTTCTCCCTCTCCCTCCCTCCTACTCCCTCCCCCTTACTCCCTCCCTCCCTCCCTCCCCTCCCTCTCTCCCTCCCTCCCTTCCCTCCTTCCCTCCCTCCCTCCCTCCCCTCCCTCCTACTCCCTCCTCCTTTCTACTCCTACCTCCCCCTCCTTCCCTCCATCTGTAAATCTCTTAACCTCAGTCTCGCGCTCTCCGTTCAGAGGCAGAGCCACTCCCTGTTGTTTGGCAGTTCTCTGCCCCGAGTAGAGAATTGCGCACCCACACAACCACGTATCCGCACACCCATCCACTCACTGACCCACCCACCCACAAACTCACTCACTTATCCACCCACTCATCCACCCCCCTCTGCCCCCCCCCCACCCCGCCCCTTCCCTCCACAGCACGGTGCCCCCCCAGGCGTTCTGCGTCGACTCGAACCCGGACGACTCCGCGCTCGTCACGCTGCGGCTCGACCAGAACCACATCGACCGTCGCGCCGTGCCTCGCACCGCCTTCTCCTGCGTGCGCTCGCTCGCCAGCGTGGTGCTGCGCCCGCAGAAGCCCCTGGGGCGCACGCCGCCATCATCGTCATCGTCGTCGTCGAGGAGGAGGCCCGGAAGACCCCGAGCGAAGCCTGAGCCGGATTACGATGACTATGAGTCGCACTCCGGGTACGAGGATGAGGTGCGGCAGGAGGAGGAGGAATACGAGGAGGGGGACTTCGGGATGGACCAGGACCCGGCCGTTTGGTTCTTCAGGTTGGGGTTGGGACTCGGACTCTGGTAGTGACTGGTGGGTGGACGGGTGGACGGGTGGAGGGGTGGAGGGGTAGATGGGTGGAGGGGTGCAGGGGTGGACGGGTGGAGGGGTGGATGGGTGGAGGGGTGGATGGGTGGATGGGTAGCTGGGTGGAGGGGTAGATGGGTGGATGGGTGGAGGGGTGGAGGGGTGGAGGAGTGGATGGGTGGAGGGGTGGATGGGTAGATGGGTGGAGGGGTGGAGGGGTGGATGGGTGGATGGGTAGATGGGTGAAGGGGTGGAGGGGTGGATGGGTGGAGGGGTAGAGGGGTGGAGGGGTGGATGGGTGGAGGGGTGGAGGGGTGGATGGGTGGAGGGGTGGATGGGTAGATGGGTGGAGGGGTGGAGGGGTGGAGGGGTGGATGGGTGGAGGGGTGGATGGGTGGAGGGGTGGATGGGTGGAGGGGTGGATGGGTGGAGGGGTGGAGGGGTGGATGGGTGGAGGGGTGGATGGGTGGATGGGTGGAGGGGTGGATGGGTGGAGGGGTGGATGGATGGAGGGGTGGATGGGTAGACGACAGGTGGAGGGTTGGATGGATGGAGGGGTGGACGGGTGGATGGGTGGAGGGGTGGATGGGTGGATGGGTACACTGGTGAATGGAATAATACAGAGAGGAATGAATTAAGGGACACGTATGTGGATTGCCAGTGATGAACCGATAAACAGATTGTGGAGTCAATGAGACAGGTGGACTGCAATGGCGAAATTGACAGAAGGATGGACACAGACACTAGCTAGTAGACATCTGGATAGACAACGGGACAGATCGATTGACAAAGACAACGTGGATGGAGAAGGTCAGATGGTTCATTGCATACACCTCCGATTAGCACGGTTGGCTACGTACGGTGCGAAAGAAAAACAAACATACAGGGGTGGACAGCCTGATGGACAGACAGAAGGACGGATGAATGGATGGTCAGACAGACAGATGGACAAATTGGTGGACAAGCAGGTGGATTGACGGATGCATGGATGGATGGACCGATATACAAATGGACTAGGGGATCGACAGACAGATCAGATGGGCAGACAGACAGACGAGACAGACAGAGGGAAATGTAGCAATGCAGACAAAGAGAAAGACCCACACCCAGATAGATAAATGGACAGAGAGCCGTGGGAGTCGTAATACCAATCTGTAGAGAAGAGCTCTCGCGTGACAATTGAAACTATTATCGGCACTTGTCACAGCTATCACTGCGTCGCCATTGCCACCGCAGCCGTAAGGGCCACACCGCCGCCTGATCGATAACACTGCCACAGCCACGCGTTATTGCCACTGCAATCGAAACAAGATTCATATGTGGACAATCATTGCCACTGCCGTAACCGAACATCGTCACCGTCGTCAACAGCCACGCCATCATCTTCATTATCATCACGGCCACTTTCATCATCGTGGAACCGGCCCCGTCATATTTCCATCATCATGACAATCATTGATCACAATCTCAATCTTCTTGGTTCTTTCGGTAAAGTCACGTAGAAGGGAAATAATAAAATAATAAAAATAAAACATAATAAAATACAATTCTCACGACATTTCGGCCACAATGCAAGCAGCCGTCCTTAGGTCTGTCATTCAGACGCTGTCTTTCCGACAGACCTGTTCTTCACCTGAGGACGGCTGCTTGCGTTGTGGCCGAAACGTCGTGAGAATTGTATTTTATTTTTATTATTTCCCTTCTACGTGACTTTACCGAAAGAACCAAGAAGATGAATCCCTGCAGTCACGAAAGAAGTTTTAAATCGAAACACAATCTCAAAATCATTGCCACCACAAGGCAACGAACATCAGCACACCATCATCACTGTCACCGCCTCTACGTTACCGTTATTATCGTCACCGTCACGACCGTCATTGTTTGTATGTACGCAAAAAAACACCCATTTAAAGTTGTTAAAAATACTCCTTTTGGTTATATTAAAATAAAAGTTCTTTTTTAAAATCTCAAACTTTTGTGTTAATTTAACACGTACGCTTTCGCGACCGATATCGTCAATAATGTCGTTGCTTTTGGGTTAGATCGCGTAAATACAAATGTGTCGTTAAACTCAGATTGTAAATGTTGTGGATTTGCTCTCGGACACACAACCGGTTAGTGCTGTACTAGTGACGAATTGGCACGTTCTGTTTACGTGACAAACCTCACTAATTGGCTGGGTCGGGTGGTGGCAGGTTTAACGACACATTTATATATTTACGCGACCTAACCCAAAACAAACAACACATTATGGATTTTGTGTTAATTGTTTTCTATTGCTGCCCCGGAAGTGTTGTGGCTATAACACACAGACGGCTTCTGGAAGGCAACGCGTTTATCACGACAATGTTACTTACAACCGTAACACTTAACTGGTACGGCCCCTTCACCCGATAACCTAAGGGAGGTAGGTAAAAAATCTAATCAAATAAATGAAAACAACTAAATTAAATCACGACGTTTCGGGCGCGACACAAGCGTCCTTCTTCAGGTGGGGACAACGTAGCGAAAGCACAACCGCTTAAGTGTGTCTAAGAGATGGCTGTGACGAGGAATTATATAGTCGCGAAACGTCGTGATTTAATTTAGTTGTTTTCATTTTTTTCACCTACGTGACTTTACCGAAAGAACCAAAGAGTATGGATTCCTGCAGTTACGAAAGCTTCAAATCATGATTAAAATGGAATATTTTATTTATTTATTTTACCAGGGAAGGCTATAGAGACCGTTTTCAGAAGCGGCTGGGAAATAGGACCCGGTGAAATCACCCAACCTCACGTGACCAACAACAACAGCAACAGGCCACGACTCTCAGCACGTGGGACAGAACTCGACGCAAGCAAAAAACAAAACACGACGGCCAAACAAAGCGACGAGCATGGACAACTTCCTGAGCGAGAGGCCACACACCATCACCACCATCACCCATCACCACCACCCACCACCACCATCCACCAACACCACCACCTCCTCCACCACCCACCACCACCATCTACCACCACCACCATCTACCACCACCATCCACCAACACCACTACCACCACCACCCACCACCACCATCCACCAAAACCACCACCACCACCCATCACCACCACCATCTACCACCACCACCAACCAACATCACCACCACCACCCACCCACCAACCACCACCACACACGAGGCACCCTCGGTGAATCCACAGCCGGACCAGCGAGCGGATGGATCGGTCAATCCCAGGACAAGACATGCGGGATCCTTGGACCAGCGAGCGCTCGTTGGGGATGACTTTAAACGTCTCTCTAGGCAAGATATTTTTGGGGTTAAATGCGAATGGCATTCATCCATAGGAGACTCTTCAAGTGCCCCTCCACCTGACCACAAGTCTTCTGGACAGAACCCACAAAGCGGCACGCTGAGGTTATAATACTGGTAGGAACCTCCTGGTTACACCAGCCAACAGGGGGATTATTGTGTCCGTCGTGCAGGGAGGGGCTGGGTGGGGAGGGAGGGGCTGGGTGGGGAGGGGAGGGGAGGGTGGAAAGGGGCTGGGTGGGGAGGGGCTGGGTGAGGAGGGTGGGGAGGGGCTGGGTGGGGAGGTTGGGGCTGGGTGGGGGGTGGGAGGGGTGGGGCTGGGTGGGGAGGGGCTGGTCACCCCGTGGTGCCCTTATAAAACTCAACGTTGAACCTACTCACGCCGGCTTGTGCCCGCCCTCACAGTCGGGCATATTTGCGGAATACACCACGCCGCCGTTGACCCTGCAGGCCATTGAGCGATCAACCCAACGTTCCTACCAGCTCCCTCCGCAGGAATGTGTTTAACACAGACAGCCTCGAGAATGACACAGCGTTCACAAAAACGACTCTCTCGATCTTATTGGAAGAACATCCTCAGATGCTTTCGCAGTGGAATAGACACGCTCCATTCGGGGGGACTTCTGGAAGGTCACAGCCTCGCTCGCATGGGAGCTAAGAGCCTCACTAGAGACCCACTCTGTACATCCTCACAACGTCTGTGTGGTCCACCAACCCTAACCTCCCACAGCGATGGACTGGACTACAGGCCACGTGCGTAGCCACCACTGAGTCACTGATGTTGACACACTTTTGTTTGATCAACCACTGTTTGCATCTCATAATGAAACATGTCAAACTTGACTGATGCATCATGGGACCTCCTTTGCCAGTACCAAAATATGAGAATAGGTTTTCCCCTTTTTGCTGGCAACTAAACAGCTGTGTTGAGATGTTGAAACACCAAACTGAAACCTTTTACAAGGAATCATGTCTGATGCACCCTGCAACCACTTCCAATGTTGTGACAGTTGCGCATCAAGGGCGTATCTGGGCTTGTCTTCAAGTGTCAGGCATAACCGCACTCCTTTTCCTGGTTAGCTCCTGCAAACCCTCTGGCTACCATCAAAGGTTTGTACACGAAGCCATTCAGATATACAAACACAGACATAACTTCAACCGTGATGATGGGCACAAACTGAGTTATCATTGGAAAGATGTTATTAACCATGTAAAAACGATTTCATTACACATATTTGTACCATCTTATTTGACAGGTACTTTTCTACTTTACCGAGTGTTGACATCCCCATCGTTTAACAGTACTGCTAATTTTTTGCATTTAGATTCTCAACCAACATCGGTTTAGGTCGAGGTACACCGATTGTTGTTTTCTTGCACATGACGACGTTGACCAATTTCTCTTGTAGCCCCGCCCACCACCCCACGTTCCATTCCCTGGTTACCACATTCAGACAAGCCCCTCCCCCCTTAACTTGTATTTAAGGGCTGGTCTTTTGGAATTTTCCTCACTTGATGCAGTAATTGTAGCTGTGACGGTTCCCACCTGATGACGGAGACTTGTGTTGCCTCCGAAACGTCGTGATTTATTATTTTATTTTATTTCCATTATTACTTTGATTAACTTTTAATTTATTTTTACCTACGTGACTTTACCGAAAAAAACCTAAGACTATAGCTCCTCCCCCACATCAGGGTTGTGGCCGTGACCTGGATTCAAACCCAGGCGTGAGCGGTGTCGGCTGAGCGTCTCCGACGCGGTCATTGTGAACTCCACGAACCATGTCGCCACCTGGTGGTGAGATAGTAAACAAGTATAACCCGTAAAAAAAAGTTTTTCACTATAAATCCTTTATATGCGTGGCGGCTAGAGTCCTCTCGTCCCCTGGCTTGAGATGGCTGCCACCTATGGGTCAGATGATTGCATTGCACCATTAAGCAATTGGTAATTAAATATCATATTTTTGTCCTAAAAAGTGTAACATTTTGGAAAAAAATTTCCCGAACATTAATTGTCACGCACAACGAGTCTGTGTGGAAAATGTCAGCTCGATTCGATCACGGGAAGTGGGTTAAAAAATCGACCGAAATATTTACACGGTCGTAAGCAAGCAAGCGAACTTAATAAAAAGGATTTAAAAAAGAGTCATAATGTGAAGAGCCAAGAGCGGTGGTGCACACGGCACTACGAACTCGGTGACCTGATTTGAATAATTCACCACGACGAACATCGGTGGTGTAACTTGAACCAGAAATTCACTTTTATCGAGATCTAATGACACTGTGATCTGGTAGCACTGAGATTTAGTGGCATTGAGATCTGGTGGCAGTGACATCTGGTGGTAGTGACATCTGGTGGTAGTTACATCTGGTGGCAGTGACATCTGGTGGCAGTGACATCTGGTGACAGTGAGATCTGGTGGTAGTGAGATCTGGTGGCAGTGAGATCTGGTGGCAGTGAGATCTGGTGACAGTGAGATCTGGTGGCAGTGAGATCTGGTGACAGTGACATCTGGTGGCAGTGAGATCTGGTGGCAGTGACATCTGGTGGCAGTGACATCTGGTGGCAGTGAGATCTGGTGACAGTGAGATCTGGTGGTAGTGAGATCTGGTGGCAGTGAGATCTGGTGGCAGTGAGATCTGGTGACAGTGAGATCTGGTGGCAGTGAGATCTGGTGGCAGTGACATCTGGTGGCAGTGACATCTGGTGACAGTGACATCTGGTGGCAGTGACATCTGGTGGCAGTGACATCTGGTGGCAGTGACTTCTGGTGGCAGTGACATCTGGTGGCAGTGACATCTGGTGGCAGTGACATCTGGTGACAGTGACATCTGGTGGCAGTGACATCTGGTGGCAGTGACATCTGGTGGTAGTGAGATCTGGTGACAGTGTGATCTGGTGACAGTGACATCTGGTGGCAGTGACATCTGGTGGCAGTGACATCTGGTGGCAGTGACATCTGGTGGTAGTGAGATCTGGTGACAGTGTGATCTGGTGACAGTGACATCTGGTGGCAGTGACATCTGGTGGCAGTGACATCTGGTGACAGTGACATCTGGTGGCAGTGACATCTGGTGGCAGTGACATCTGGTGGCAGTGAGATCTGGTGGTAGTGAGATCTGGTGGTAGTGAGATCTGGTGGCAGTGAGATCTGGTGGCAGTGAGATCTGGTGGTAGTGAGATCTGGTGGCAGTGAGATCTGGTGGCAGTGAGATCTGGTGGCAGTGAGATCTGGTGACAGTGACATCTGGTGACAGTGAGATCTGGTGGTAGTGAGATCTGGTGGTAGTGAGATCTGGTGGCAGTGAGATCTGGTGGCAGTGAGATCTGGTGACAGTGAGATCTGGTGGCAGTGACATCTGGTGGCAGTGACATCTGGTGGCAGTGACATCTGGTGGCAGTGACATCTGGTGACAGTGTGATCTGGTGGTGCTGTGATCTGGTGGCAGTGTGATCTGGTGGTGCTGTGATCTAGTGGTGGTGTGATCTGGTGGAAGTGAGATCTGTTGACAGTGAGATCTGGTGACAGTGAGATCTGTTGACAGTGAGATCTGTTGACAGTGAGATCTGATGGTACTGGGTTGAACTTTATTACAGGAAACTGTACAGTGTTGATAGATCGAATACTGACTGAGAAATTTCCCTGGGTTTGATCTGTGGTGGTAAAGGTGGCAGCCCCGATTGGGATGCTTGGTAATGAATTCCAGAGTTTGGCCTGCATACGCGCTCGCTAACAGCATTTACAAGCAACCATCAGTCTGTTAATGCTATACGGGGGACTTTTGTATTCGTTCGAGGGTGTGTGAGTGACTGAGTGTGCGTGCAATCGTCGTTGTTGTGGGAGCGTCAGTTAGCACGGGCTGCAGGATAACGCGATTTCATACCAGCCTTTCTACATTCACGTTTCCATCGCTGCAACAAAAGACTTGTGTTTCGTCTTCAACAAAAATTGAACAGAGCAACGACTGAGAAACCCAACCATTCTCGCTCAGAGTTCGCCGTTGCTGCTGCTGCTGCTGCCACATGTGTATCCACTTGGGCTGCCCCAAGGCAGCTTAACGGCAGTTATAAAAACATTTCCTCCCCCCCCCCCCCAAAAAAAAGAGAAAACGCTCGGCCCCCATTTGTGGAAGACACAAAAAAACCCACGCCACAGGAGTGAAACTCCCTCTTTTTTTTCATTTCTTACAAAATTCACCCCGTCGGCCCCAATTCAAAGCATTTCCTCCCAAACTCCGTTACAGCTCCTCCAGAATTCCTGCTGAGCATTCGTCCGCAAAGCGCACGGCACGCGACGTACGCACCGCACCGCACCGCTTGAACGTTTTAGAATTGCCTTTAATTTTCGTGGTTTTGTGAACGCAATTTTTTTGAGAGTAGTGTTTGAACGCCTCCACAAAGCGGGGCGGGAATTAACGTTCATCGCCCGATCCCGTCTTGGTGCCCAATTCCACTTCTGCGTGCTGGACTTTGGTGAGGTGGCGACAACCGGTAGGTAAGTCTCCTCCAACCCACAACACCAACCACCTTCTAGAATTGCTATTTGCTCAAACGTTTCACCCAGGACATTTACTTGAAATGGAACATCTCGTTTGCAAAGTTGGGGGAAGGGGGGGGGGGGTCCACGGTGTTTATAGACAACCTTTGAATCCAAACTTTTCCAATGACAATGCATCGCTCGAAACGACAATAATCATAATCTTTGTGGATATTGTTAACAAAATAAATAAGCAGACGATACGCCTCCATCAAATGCCTGTGTCTCCACGTGAGAAACTCAATTGTTACACATTCCATCAGCCACACGCCCTTCTGGGAGTGGATCGTTTCAGCAGCATTGGTCCAACACAAGCAAAGCTCTGGATCAATCGGTGTCGACAATCAGTGTCTCATCAGCAGTGTTGAACCGATGCTGGTCAACTGCCGGATGTCTGGAAGCAAGGGCCCTCTCTGTTAGACAAGGCAGTTTATTTTTAGTTTAACTTGAACGCGTGTTTATGTACGTGTGTGTTTGCATGTTGAACTTTTTTCGCACCGTCCACAGCCACCCTTGCTGACCGCAGATGCGTCTGTGGCGCGTGCCATACTTTGTATTTCTATTGCAACGATGGCCAAATCAGCCAAAAAAAATTAACTCGTAAAAACAAAGTTTTTCACTCTAAATCCTTTATGTGCGTGGCGGCTAGAGTCCTCTCGTCCTCTGGCTTGAGATGGCTGCCACCTATCGGTCAGATGATTGTCTGGCAGCATTAAGCAATTGGTAATTAAATATTTAAAACATTTTCCCTAAACAGTGTAAAATTTGGGAATTTTTTTTCACGAAAATTAATTGTCACGCACAACGAGCCTGTGTGCAAGATGTCAGCTCGATTGGATCACGGGAAGTGGGTTAAAACACGACCGAAAAATTTGCACGCTCGTAAGCAAGCAAGCAAGCGAGTGAACTTAATATAAAGGATTTAAAAACGCCAGGTCCAGCCAGATCTCAGAATCAAAGCAGAGATTTGAGCCTGGGTGTTCGACCGCCATGCATACAATAACAAGTGATATAGAGCTGACGGCGGGGCTACGTGGTGGACAGTACCATGGTCCCTGCGTTCACCAACTGGCACTGAGCATTTTTCGATTTAAAGCTTTCGTGACTGCAGGGATTCATCTTCTTGGTTCTTTCGGTAAAGTCACGTAGAAGGGAAGTAATAAAATAATAAAAATAAAACATAATAAAATAATTCTCACGACGTTACGCTCCAAGCGTGGTGGTGTTTCATTCAGACGCTGTCTCCCCGACAGACCTGGTCTTCACCTGAGGACGGCTGCTTGCGTTGTGGCCGAAACGTCGTGAGAATTATTTTATTATGTTTTATTTTTATTTTTTTATTACTTCCCTTCTACGCGACTTTACCGAAAGAACCAAGAAGATAGCACTGACCAGTGTGGTGAAGTATGGTCAAATAACCCCCGGGACCCGCATGGCTTTGCAAGGCCTCCATCCAGCAGTAGATTGACGAGTTACCGTTACGATGGTAACTGAGTATATTTGGTATTTGCGCCATTCCAATGGCAGCCGTGCCACCAGGAAGCCAGTCGATGTTTCACAGCTGGATACAGTCCGCAAGTAAGGGGAGTGGGTGAGTGGGGGGCGATGTTGCTTTGTGTTGCTTTGTGCCTTTCACCAAACGACACAACTTGTGGTGTCACATTTGCACCGTGACACCGACACACGTAACGGACTCGTTATTACACGCTTTCTTTTAACTCACTCTGTCTGTTGCTGTTGTCGTTGTTGTATGCTCAAATCTTGTAACTCGATTTTAACCCACTTCCCAATGCGGTATCGACTGCAAACTTGGTATACTTATGTCATACCGATGACAATACTATATTCTATCATAAAAAATTTAACATTTATAAACAATCTTTTTTATATGTTATGTTTCGACTTGGGTCTAATTGGCCACGGTCCCCTTACGTTATGGCAAGCTTCGGGGCCACTTCCTGGAGTCGTGGAGTTATGCCATTACTAGTACACTTCATAAAAGCGTGTTTTTTTAAAAGTAAAAAAATATATGATTGTTGCTGTGTGTCTTCCAAATGACGTCAAGGGAGAGAGTGTTTATCACGTCCGCTGCCTGTGAAGCAGACGGCGCGTGGCGTCTATTGTTGTGGTTAAACACACGGCGCAGTATTAACCAGGGGCGGCTGCTAGGGCCGGACCCGGTTTGCCGATTGTTACATAAGGCAGAGAGAGAGAGCGGGGGTGGGGAGGGAGGCAGAAAGGAAGGAAGTTTTTGCACGAGGGCCGAGGAGACCGTCTGTGAAACGTGGCTGTCTCGATTCGAGGCCAGATTCCGCGGCCAAATGTCCCAATTACAGCCCGCGCGTCCGCCGAGGCTGCGTTTTTTTCTTTCTCGTTTTGCCGAATGCAGTCTGGGCAGAGCGTGGTCCCGAGGCGGAACACTGAGTGAGGTCACCGGGGCCGACGTTTGTAGAGGGCCTGGGAATTGGACTTTGAGTTCCATCGGCAAGGAATTGAATCGTCCTGAGAATCTGGTGCTCAGCGTTGTGTTCTATTAAACTCTATTGCATTTTTTTACACACACACAAAGACAAAGAGTCCCCGTATAGCCTTAGCAGACTGTTGGGGCAAGTGCCGTTAGCGAGTAGCACCTATGAAGGCCGGCACGGCACACGAGGGGGGTGGGTGGCCATCACCACACCCGGTCGCCTTTGTCTCCCAAGTTGCAATGTTCACATATCGCACCAGGTAAAGGGCCCCTCTGAGCGACGTAGATATTTTTTTTCCGAAGCGATCTGGCTATCGCACATCATTAATAGATCAACGAAGCGGCTTATCACGGGGGAAATGTATAGCAGTCGATTACTCTAAACGCGCGACGTTGGGGAAAACCGGAGGACGCGGAGAACAAGTATAACCCGTAAAAACAAAGTTTTTCACTATAAATCCTTTATATGCGTGGCGGCTAGAGTCCTCTCGTCCTCTGGCTTGAGATGGCTGCCACCTATGGGTCAGATGATTGCATGCCAACATTAAGCAATTCGTAATTAAATATAAGATTTTTGTCCTAAAAAGTGTAGAATTTTGGAAAAAAAATTTTTACGAACATTAATTGTCACGCACAACGAGTCTGTGTGGAAAATGTCAGCTCGATTGGATCACGGGAAGTGACCGAAAGATTTGCACGGTCCTAAGCAAGCAAGCAAGCAAGTGAACTTAATATAAAGGATTTAAAAATCAACGCGACCAAACAAAGACAAAGATCCCCCGCATAGCCTCAACAGACTATTGGGGCAAGTGCCGTTAGCGAGTAGCACCTATGAAGGCCGGCACGACACACGAGGGGGTCGGTGGCCAGCACCACGCCGGGCCGGATTGTTCTGGCCTATTGATGGCATCACAGACCTTGACCAGGTGCCGTCTCTACACCTCCGCTAGAGCGGACGGAGAGAGAGCATGCACGGCGTCTGTGCAGGTCCGAACTGTTCTGATCCTCGCCAGGACATTTCCTGGCACGCCGAGGAGGGAGATGCCCCCGGCGGTTGTTGAAATCAGTGCGAGGGTGCACCAGGGCATTTTTCCAATTCTGTGGAACCCATCCTCCTCCTGGTTCAGACCTCAGTAACGGGGATAAGCCTGCACACAAACCCCACCCTCCCTCAGCAGTTCGCTATGCGAACAAAGACAAAGGTCCCCCATATAGCCTTAACAAACTGTAGGGGCAAGTGCTGTTAGCGAGCGCCTATGAAGGTCGGAACGGTACACGAGGGGGTGGGTGGCCAGCACCACGCCCGGCCGTTTACACACCGCACCAGGTACTCATTTCAGGCTGAGTCGACCTAGGGGAGGCCCAGGACCGGTTCAGATAATCGTCACTGGTGTTGGCCGTGAGCAGGAATCGAACCCGGGTCGCCGGGTTCGTAGCGCAGCGCGCTAACCGCTACACGACCGCTCCCCACTTACACACACACAGCCACACACACATGCAGGCAAAGCACACAGATTCATATGGACACGCGCACAGACACCCACACACACACGCGCGCGCGCACAACCACACAGAGGCTCCCACTAAGACAGACACGCAGACACACCCACAAGACACACAACAACAACAACAATCGCCATTCGCCACTAATTGGCGGTGACGTCCCCAAGACGCTTGCGCCAGGCCATGTGCACGTTGAGGCCACGTGAAGTCTCGAACGCCCGCTGGCGGCAGGAGGTCACGGGGCAGACCCAGGAGGTGCCACGGGTCGACTGACTGAGACGACACGAAACTGCCACTGAGTGACATGGCCACTAAGCGGCAGTGCCGTCTCATCGCTGGTGTCACCCTCTCATCCACGTCGCCTGTGGACAAACCAGCCGAATTCATAATCAACGTTTCTGGGTTATATCGCGTTATTTATAAATGTGTCGTAACCCTCCACCACCCGACACGGCCAATCAGCAAACAAAGTGTCACGTTGACAAAAGACAAAATAAATTTCGATTTAAAGCTTTCGTGACTGCAGGGATTCATCTTCTTGGTTCTTTCGGTAAGTCTCGTAGAATGGAAATAATAAAATAATCTCTGTCTTCTCGACAGACCTGTTCTCCACCTGAGGACGGCTGCTTGCGTTGTGGCCGAAACGTCGTGAGAATAATTTTATTATGTTTTATTTTTATTATTTTATTATTTCCATTCTACGTGACTTTACCGAAAGAACCAAGAAGATGAAAAGACAAAATAGTTCACTACTTTAGCCCACCGGTGTGTTGAAGCGTGAAACCACAACATTTACAATTTTTTTGAGTAGTACGACGTTTCGCTGGTAATTGCATCCAGCATCATCGGGCAATTCGCCAGAATAGTGAGGCTCTTGCTGATTGGCCGTGTCGGGTGGTGGAGGGTTACGACACATTTATAAGTAACGCGATCTAACCCAAACACGTTGATTATTTATCAATAATATTGGTCGCGAAAGCCTGCTTCG